TAGTCCCCCTTATTAAATTTGTGCTTTGATTGCTAGCGCTTGAGGTGTCATACTCAGTCTCTGGACTGAAATTTGGATCACAAAGAGTGACTGATTTTATATAGGATAATGCTGGAACATTCTCATTTGGGAAGTGTCAGTGTGTCCAATGTCAACATTCTCTTTCTCTACATTGTCCTCTAGGAGTTTTGCAATTTCAGGTCTTTTGCTTACAACCCACTCCATTTCAAGTTAATTTTTGCAAGTGGCATAAGATAGGGCTCCACTTTCATCGCTCTGCCTATAGTTATCCAGTTTCCTCAGTACCATTTATTAAAGACACCATCGTTTCCCATGAATACTTTTGACTCCTTTGTCAAATATTGGTTGGATGTATATGCATATGTAGGTTCATTTCTGGGCTCTTCATTCTGTTCCTTTGGTATATGTGTCTATTTCTTTAGCCGGTACCATAGTAGTTGGGTTACTGGAGCTTTACAATACTAGTTTGAATCAAGAAGTGGGATGCCTCCATCTTTATTCTTCTTTCTGAGGGTGTCTTTGGCAGTTGGTGTCATTGTGGCTCCATACTAAGCTCAGGACTGTCTTTGTCTATCTGTGAAAAATGCCACTCAAATGTTGATAGGGATCGCATTGATTCCATAGATGGGTATTGGAGTGTAAACAGTTTAGCAGCATTAACTCTTTCAATTCATGAACACAAGATACTCTTTGCTTAATTTAAATTCCAGTGTAGTTACATAGAGTGCTACGTTAGTTTTAAGTGTACAATATAGCCGTCAGCATTTCCATACATGACCCAGGGCTCATCACAGTGCATTCCTTAATCCCCATTGCCTATTTCACGCATTCTCCCACCCACCTCCCCTCTGGTAACCAAGAGTTTGTTCTCCATCATTAAGAGTCTGTTTCTTTGGTTTCTCTCTCTCTCTCTCTGTCTTTCTCTGTTACCTGTTTTTTCTTTTTCTTAAATTCCATATATCAGTGAGATGCATAGTATTTGTCTTTCTATGACTGACTTATTTCACATGGTATCATACACTTTACATCTACCCCATTTTGTGACAGGTGGCAGGATTTCATTCCTTTTTATGGCCGAGTAATATTTCATTGTGTATATCTGCAGCATCCCCTTTATTCTTCTATGAATGGACCCTTGGCTTGCTTCCATACTCTGGCTGTTCTAAGTAGTGCAGCTGTAAACATAAGGCTGCAAGTATCCCTCTGTATTTGTGTTTTTGTATTTGGGGATAAATGTCCATCAGTGCAATTACTAGATTGTAGGGTAGTTCTATTTTTAACTTTTTGGTAAACCTCTATGTTCCTTTCCACAGTGGCTACACTAGTTTCTTGCTTGGATCTTGATGTTAGAGAAAAGCAAGTAGTCTTTCTCTATTAAGTATGATGTAAGATGTACGATTTTTCATGGTTTCTCTTTATCAAGTTTAGAAATCTTCCTTCTGCTCCTCCTGGTTTGCCCAACGCTTTTGTCAGGAACGGTGTATATCTTGTTAAAATTTTCCTGAATGGAGAAAAACAGCATAGCCAGGTGACGAATTTCTTTTTCTTCCCTTCTCCAGGGAGAGATGTACATCCAGGATACTCCCAGCTGTCTTAATGTTAATGCCTTGCTAAGGAAAAAAACCTGGGTTTGACAATAGCAGGGCCTCAGGTTTCCTGGGAATCATCTTTAGCATATGAAAATCCTTTTGAAGCTTCCCTTTTCTTTACTTCCCAACCCCAAGGTGTATAATCAGTTACTCTTTCCAATCCCAGGGCAGCAGCTCTTGGTTCCCACTAGACCTGTGCCCTTGCTTTGATAAAAACACTTTTTTTTTTTTTTTGCACCAAAGACGTCTCAAGAATTCTTTTTGTCCCTCAGCTCTGGACCCCAGAACACACTACTCCAAACCTCTTCAGTGTCATATGCAGAGTCATGTAACTCCTTGCTTCTTCTAAGTGGCTGTTTAGGAGTATCAAATGCACACATTTTGTGTATCTCTATAAACAACAATTCACGGACTATCAGTGTTGTTTTTACTACTAGAAAATGAGCCATTAGCTTCCTTAATGTAATGAGGTTAGACCCTCAATTCCACAAAACCAAGAACCAATTCAGAAAACCCACCCTGAACATTCAGTTCCTCTAGAAACACACTCAGCACCGAAACCTTCATTAGTCACCATTCTCCAGAGAAATGGCACTGACAGGATTACATATAGATGTGCAAGTATATATAAGAGGATATTCATTACAGGAGTTGGCTTATGTGATTATGAGGGTGAGAAATCCCACAACTTGCTCTCTGCAATCTAGACAACAACAAGGGAAGTGGGTGGCGAACTTCAGTCCCTGTCTAAAGGCCTGGTTACATGGGGTTGTAAGTCCCACTCTATGACCAAAGCCTGGGAACCAAAAGTGTTGATGTCTGAAGACAGGAGAAGATAGCCCAAGGTCATGCACTCTGTGCTATAGCAAAGGACCCCATCTCCCACACTGTGCCCAACAAATGAAGCCAGTGTGAGAGTTGCATTTCACATGGTTAGTAATACCCATTTTGACCTCAACCACCAAACTAAGTCTGAGCTTAGTTACCAGCAGTCCAGAGTACACTGGAAAATCGCAGCTGCCCAGCATCTTCAGAAAGTGTGCCATGCCCACTCACCCTTAGTTCTGTGGAGATTTGAATTTCTTCCTAGATTCTCCTGCCTGAAAGAAGAGAAGCTCTGGCCCTGTAGAAAACGGAAGTCCTCCCACAAGTAGAGGAGTTGCTGGCACTCTCAGCACTATCTCCTTGCTTAGCAGCCCAGACACAGCTCCTGCAGGCAGCAATCAGGCGATTCTTCCTGTCTCTCCAGTGTCCTTGCCGCCGCTTCCTGTGTGTCACCACAGCATCTTCACAACTCGCTTTGTACCAGGTTGAAGTCCGCCCTGTGGAGTGCACTGGAACAATTCAGGCATCATCAGGGCCTCATTACCCACAACTGTCCAGGCATCCGAAGGCAGGAATTGGAATGTTTATAAATTACAGAGAGTGTAAATTCAGAAATCACCGTATCCTAGCCTTTGAGCACGTCCTGAGTGCTGTGCACACAAAAAAATGGGGGATAAAAGATAAAAAGCAAGTAAGATTTGGTAACGATAGTCTCCTTGCTGACAATGATTTTAAAAGAATAAAAAGTAAAATAAAATAAAAGTAAAATAAAAACGTTGAGGACTATGACTACTCTGTCTTAAATTTTTTTTTTTTTGAAGAATCACATTTCCTATTCAGTCCGCTTTTTAGGGAGACAGAGAGACTGAGAGACCTCCCTTGCTATACTCAAGGTATGCCCTTCAAAAAAGCCCAACTGGATGGAACAGAGAGGACTCACGTAAGTTCAACAGTATATCCTAATTTCTTTAGAAAAAGATACGTTCTGACTAAGGCTCCCCTCTTGTCCTCCCTTCCATATGCACCTCACACACAAAACTGCTAACTTATATCAAAGTAATCAAAATGGAAACTGGCACACAGATTACTGTCTGCATCAACAAGAGTTCATATTCCCCTGGTTTCATCAGCTGTCATGACCCCTCTGTGAAAGCACACACAAGGGTTGTGTCTTTCTGCAGTGTTAGCTTGGTTCTATCATGGAACAAAGTAAATCACCATGTGATTAACCTCACCCTCTCAAACAGCACACCGAGCAGGACATAAAACAAACCACATGACAAACAAGATAACACAGGTGTGTGGGAAGTTAATGAACCAAAGGGGAAGTCAGTCTGTGGGCATGCCCTTGAACGAAGGCCTCGGTCCGGTCCATTCTGGTCGGGGTCAGCTCTGGGCATTACTGCTTTTCATATTCAAGCAGTGAAGGATCTCAGTTGTGTTCAGAGATCAGTCGGGCACAGCTATCGCAGCCAGTCGCCTTTTCTAAGTGGTCAGTCATAGAGGGTTCATGTCGGAAGAGTCTGGCAGTTTGCTGCAAAATTCTGCTCTTTTCTAAGGGATTTAAAGGTCTGCCCCTGCAGCCCTCTTCTGATTCAGCTTGTTATCCATTCTGGGATGTCGGCTGATGCTGGTCCCTGCCATACCTCCTAGCAGCAGTATCATTACCTACTTGGGTCATGGCTTGACACAGGCTCCTGCTTCACATGAGAGACCCCATTTTACTCCCTATACCAACATAAATTCACGAATCCAGCAAGGCCTTGCCTAAGAACAGAAGAGCTGCAAATAGCTTTCTTCTTTGTTCTAGGAACTACCTGAAAAACCCATTAACACATCAATCAAAAGTGTGAAAGGACATTTTCAGAAAACTTTAAACTTTTGGTTTTCAGATTCTTGCCTTGTGGGGCACCTGGGTGGCTCAGATGGTTAAGGGTCTGCTTTTGGCTCAGGTCATGATCTCCAGATCCTGGGATCCAGCCCCAGATCCGGCTCCCAAGTCAGTGGGGAATCAGCTTCTCCCTCTGCCTCTGCTTCTCCCCGTGCTTGAGTGGTCGTTCTGTATCTCTCTCTCTCTCTAAGAAACAGAAAAATAAATGCCTGTAAAATGCTTTTTCCTTCATGTCATCCAAACTTAAACCATTCTATCATGAATCACATCCAACCTTAATCACACCTTCCTCCAAATTAAAAGATCTGCTGTATACCAGACTTCAAAATCTGAAATATAAATAATCTCTCTTGCCCTGCCACCTCCAAGACTCTATTAAGGCTCGTCTGGGTAGTACTCTCCCTTTATGAGATAAAGTCAGCTTTGCTTCGATGTGCATGGCTGTAACCTGGGAAGTACAGATTTTGAGGAGCATAGACACTACTGCTGTATGCCATGTGACCATGGACTGAGCCTAAACCCTAGAACCAATACCTGGATATTTCTGAAACATACACAGACCGGATGAATACAGTTCAGAGATAGAACTATGTAGACAGGGATAGAGATGTCAATGTGCTGTTGTGCGAACAAAAACATAAAGAAAACGGTGTTAATGAATTTATCATACACAGGTGCACGAATTTTTTCAAGTATGACACAGACCCCAAAGCAAAGGAAAAAATGACGACTCGAAGCCCATATCAAACTTGGATTAACATGCTTGACATTGCTAGCTGGCTAAGCACTTTCACTGAGACACCTTGTTCACTAAAGGTAAGCTGTGGCTGTATGTCCGCAAAGTATCTGGATGCACAGGAGAGATAGGGTGGTTTGAAAAAGAGACTGCTCAACTCTCTTCTCGGCAGACTACGTGGTAGTAAGTGTCTGCAGAAGCATAGGCGGGAAAACCCCACCCACACTGCACGCCTCTGGATTTGTGCGCATGCGCATTGCTGTGAGCGAACAGTGCGCATGCTCATTACTTTGAGCCGGATCATTACTGTGAGCGAACAGTGCGCTTGCTCACTCCTGTGCGCACCTTGCTGCCCACGTTCTGCGAATAGAGCTGGGTTCGATCGAGGCGGTTCTGTTCGTTGTCCTGTGAGCTTTCTCGCTACCTGATTTCAACCGGTAGGTCCCCACATCAGTCTTTCCAGGAGCTTAAATGTGAGTGAGGATGGGGAAGGAGCCAGGGGCCTCAGGCAGGTGGGGACAGTAGAGCTGTGGCGTCCTGGGTGGAAGTGCCGAGGAGCTACAGCCCTTCTCCTCTCCAGCCTCGCAGTCACCATTGCGCTTGTCCTCTCCTCATCCTGGTGGTGGGGACAGGGCAAGATACGTTGATGGGCTGAGGAGGGAAGGTGAAGATGGGGTGTGGACTGGGTGGGGAGGTCCTGGGGGTTTAGTTGAGGTGCCTGAATCTTGGAGCACCTGCAACTGCCGGCAGAGCACACAGTCCTGGATCCTCTATGGGACCCTGGGCAGGGGCCAGACCAGGCGGTATAGAAAAGACCAGGAAGAAGGGAATGTTGGGGCCTTGTAACTAGTGGCCCGAGATTTGTAGTGCACGGTGCACAGTGTCAAGGGAGGAGCTGGCCCGTGAATCTGTTTAATGACCAGACAACTGAACTGTTGTAGTGCAGACACAGCCATAGGTAGTATGAAAAGGATTCTTTCTTTCCCTGTGTTGCAGCAAAACCTGATTTAAGGCAGTAAAAGCATCATAAATGGCAGTGTGACCACACTGATAGTTAGTGAAGTTTAATGTACAGCACTATTTTCTCAAATGCCTTTTGTACTGGGGAATCTAGCTGGGAGACTAAGCCTTGTGTTTTAGCCTGTGCCTAAGGTGATTTCACCTCCAGCCTGAAGTAAATGATCTTGCAGCCCATGTATTTGGTGTGAACACAGCGTGTACACTGTACTGATACTAGGTTGGCTTTCAACGTATTTTCAAAGTAAGAAACAATTAAACCTGTGGCCTTAGAAGTGATATACCTCTCCTTTAGAGTACATTTTCTAAATACCAGTATTCTACTTTCAAGGCGAAATATGAGTGGCCAAGTCAGATCAAGATCCAAATCTAAACACAGAAAAGCTGACCCAGGGTCTACTCAGCGTGTGGGTGTGAGTATTTCCCTACTGGATTATTTAGATTTACCGTACGTTTATTGCTCTGGACATTTTGTTGAGCTACCAACCGACATACAGACACTGATAAAAACTACTCTGCTGATAAAGGGGGAGAAACAGTGAACCAGGAGGATTCCATATTCCTGGTGCCTGTGGAAATACAGTCTATCTCTTCTTTTTCATGCTAATTAAGCACCAATTGTGCATATCCATCCCAGCAGAGTTTACAGTAGACTCCAAAGTGCTGGTGGCTACCTCTTCTTGCACCAGCTGCACTGTGGGAAGAGTCACTATTAAGAATAAGCACATAGGGGGCACCTGGATGGCTCAGTGAGTTAAAGCCTCTGCCTTCGGCTTGGGTCATGATTCCAGGGTCCTGGGATCGAGCCCCACGTTGGGCTCTCTGTTCAGCAGGGAGCCTGTTTCCCTTCCTCTCTCTCTGCCTGCCTCTCTGCCTACTTGTGATCTCTGTCTGTCAAATAAATAAATAAAATATTTTTTTTAAAAAAGAGTAAGCACATAGAATCATGTGGGAGTGTCTTTATGCTTATTCATTGTTTGATACTCAAATGTCTGATGGGTATTTACACTGTTAGCATGTATTAACTACACAACTTTTTATCGGCCCACCCCTAGACACAGAAACCCAGGGATGAGAAACCAAAACAAAAGGAGGCACCACCTGAGAGCCGGGATATGAAACCTGAACCTGGGAAGGAAGTGGAAGCACCACTTGCGGCTCAAGGTGATGAAAAAGGGAAGAAGAATGTCTGTGGGGGCAGAGGGTGTATGTGTGCATTGTGCAATATGACAAACCATGACAGGAGGAGAGAAAAGATGAGAAGAGAATCTCAGTCATTTCCTGGAAATGGGTTGAAAATGTGAAGAGTGTACAGTGTGCAGCTTCATGTAGTCCTTCACCATAGTGAATTCCTCCCTTTCCCTCAGGAATTAATCGGTGTGCCTGAAAATGCAGTCCTTTCTAAATTGGAGGACAGTGTTTAACTACAACATATACATCATTTCCCTAGTTTAATTTGTTCTTAGCACATTTTTGTGGGGCCTTTTCACTCATTTCATGGAAAGTGCAAGCAGTTTTCAGCAGCACAGGCTGAGTGCCAAGTCAGCATACCCTACAAGATGTGGAATAAGGCCGTTTTGCATAGGGATGGGAGCCACATTTTAGAAATGAGAAAACTAAGGCTCAGGGATTGTGGCTTCCCAAAGACTGCTTGACACATGGAGACACAATGCATATTTCATTACAAGGTTTATGTTTTTGGGGAACCTGGCTGGCTCAGTCGGTAGAGCGTGTGAGTCTTGATGTCGGGGTGGAATGTTCAAGGCCCATACTGAGTGTAGAGATTATTTAACATAAGAGTTTAAAAAGAGGTTTGTGTTCTTCCTACCATCTGTGTTGCTATACAAACAAGGGAGTGTGGTTCTCTATAGAATGCTTACTACTCAAATGTGTCTGTATGGTAACGTAGCTTACTACTGGCACAGGAATCAATCCAGTTCAGTGGAGCAGGACAGAGACTCCAGAAAAGAGCTCAATGAATGATAGCCAATGTCTTTTTCATCATTTGATATGGTACGTTTCGTAAGAGCTGTGTAATTCAAGAAACTGGCGTTAGGGTCACTATATTAGTATAATTATTAAGCGTCTTTGAAAGGTGTTTAAATACTTTTATGATTAGGAAAATCAAATGTGTCTAAAAAATGATCATGAAAGAAGAAATGAATGTCTTCCAAATAGATCATTTTCATCAAGTACTCGTCGTGAATTATTGACACCGTTCAGGCATGGATTATTTTAGGGATTCGCTGTTAAGATGTTTCCACAATGCGACTGACAAAGTCCATTGAGTCTTTCCACCCTCCTTCTTTTATTCTTACTGTAAGACACAAGTTGGACTGTTAATCACTAATGTTTTGCTGTTACTTTTGGAACTTTGTTCTATATGTGACTCCTTTATCCTAAGGTATACAGAGGGACTTTGCCCTGAAATCTGACTAGGGAAATTTGACAGAATACCTTGCAGATTGCTCTAGGAGGGAATGGATGTCACCAGGATGGGATTTGTTAGAGGCCTGCAAATACACGCAGCTCATCCTTCAGAAAACCGCATTGTACTTTTAAATAAAATCTTATGCATGATATAGACTTGATTTCTTAGCTAGTTGATGCTCTGTATTCCTAGAACACTATGGTAATAGAAAGGAAACGAAGTACAGTGGGCTTGATCTTTAGAATGTCTCTTGAAATAAAGCATAACACACTTGTGGAAAACAAGGCTGTGAAATGCATTTTCCATCACATTTTTTTTTATCACACTAGCCTATAGGCTTTCATTTATATTTCATATTTACTACTTCAATTGAGTACCTTTGTATTTTAAGGACCGGACCTGAAGGCTGATCTCCAGAAGCCGCCTCAGGCAGAGGCTGGGCGTGTAACTGGCTATCACCCTGATGTCAACGGGAGAAATCTGCCCTTTTTAGAGCCCATTAAAATGCCCAGAGCAGGTATGTTATCCATTGACAGTGCAAAGTATGAGGGTCTTTTCCTGAATATCATATATTTATCTATGTAGATATAACTTTAATGATACATTAATAACAGACTTTACATATGAAGATACTTTCCCAAGTAGTTCAAACTGGAACATCTTGATGACCTGACTCATATACTAGTAGACAGAGAAACAAATTGGGTCAAAGCCTTCTTAAATCATAAAATATGAAAACATTTTCTTGTTCTGAGTATAGATACTTCAACATACAGCTAATAATACTCAGATTCTTCTGTAAGTTCTGCTTTTATGAAATGCAAAATATATTTGGATTCAATATCAGTTACTATGAAATATGCCGAGGCACTGAGGGAGGTTCTACTACCTGCTCTAAGGTAACTTGTGTGACTCTCTGAGAATCCCTTAACTTCTGAACCTATCTTTACTCATATATATATACACACACACAAACACACACAGATATATATAAAATTCAACTCATATACCATTTTCTTTTTTTTTCTTTTATTTTTTATAAACATATAATATATTTTTATCCCCAGGGGTACAGGTCTGTGAATCGCCAGGTTTACACACTTCACAGCACTCACCATAGCACATACCCTCCCCAATGTCCATAAACTCACCCCCCCAACCCCCCTCCCCCCATCAACCCTCAGTTTGTTTTGTGAGATTAAGAGTCACTTATGGTTTGTCTCCCTCCCAATCCCAACTTGTTTCATTTACTCTTCTCCTACCACATTAACCCCCCATGTTGCATCTCCTCTCCCTCATATCAGGGAGATCATGTGATATTTGTCTTTCTCCCGATTGACTTCTTTCGCTAAGCATGATACCATCTAGTTCCATCCACATCGTCGCAAATGGCAAGATTTCATTTCTTTTGATGGCTGCATAGTATTCCATTGTGTATATATACCATATCTTCTTTATCCATTCATCTGTTGATGGACATCTAGGTTCTTTCCATAGTTTGGCTATTGTGGACATTGCTGCTATAAACATTCG